TAACTTCAGGTTCCTGTTGTGACTTTAGCTTTTAGCTACTGTTTGTGTAACTTCAGGTTCCTGTTGTGACTTTAGCTTTTAGCTACTGTTTGTGTAACTTCAGGTTCCTGTTGTGACTTTAGCTTTTAGCTACTGTGTAACTAATTTTGGCTTCTACCAACTGCTTTGCAAATTTTAGCTTTATCTATCTTTTAGCTAGTTTTAGCTTGAATCTAATGCCATGTTCGTTTTACCTTTAGTTAAAGTTTTGCTAAGTTAAGCTTTTAGCTGTTTTGTTAAGTTGGGTTTTTAGATTCCGTTTTATTCATTTTAGCTTGTATGTACTGTTTTGCTGATTTCAGCTTTTATCTAAATCTACCTGAATTTTTAGTTTTAGTTTTTACCCTATGGTTTTGCTAAGTTAAGTATTTAGCTACTGTTTTACTGATTTTAGCTTCTATCTACTGAAATTTTATATTTAGTTTTCACTTTTGGTTTTGTTGATTTCAGCTTATATCTACTGAATTGCTCATTTTTGTTTTTCACCTAATATATAAACTAAGCTTTTAGACAATGTTTTGCTGATTTCAGCTTCAACCTTATGTGTAGTTAAACTAATCTTTTAGCTACTGTTTGTGTAACTTCAGGTTTTAGTTCATGTTGTGACTTTAGCTTTTAGCTTTGCAAATTTTAGCTTATCTACACTTTTGCTAATTTTAGCTTGAATCTAATACCATGTTCGTTTTACCTTTAGTTAAAGTTTTACTAAGTTAAGCTTTCAGCTATTGTTTTGTTTATTTGGGTTTTTAGATTCTGTTTTGTTCATTTTAGCTTTTAGCAAAACACCTTAAAACACCTTCAGCTTCAATCTTTTTTGTTCATTATAGCCTTTATCAATTGTTTTGCTGATTTCAGCTTCTAACTACTGAATTTTTATTTTTAGATTTTACCTACGGTTTTGCTAAGTTAAGCATTTAGCTACTCTTTTACTGATTTTAGCTTCTATGTACTGCATTTTTAGTTTTAGTTTTCACCTTTGGTTTTGTTGATTTCAGCTTATATCTACTGAATTGCTAATTTTTGTGTGTCACCTAATGTTTTTCTGATTCCAGTTTCAATCTTATGTATTGTTAAACTAAGCTTTTAGCTACTTTTTAGCTGATTTCAGCTTCAATCTTATGTATTGTTAAACTAAGCTTTTAGCTACTTTTTAGCTGATTTCAGCTTCAATCTTATATATTTTTAAACTAAGCTTTTAGCTACTGTTTTGCTGATTTCAGCTTCAATCTTGTGTATTGTTAAACTAAGCTTTTAGCTACTGTTTTTCTGATTTCAGCTTCAATCTAATGTATTGTTAAACTAAGCTTTTAGCTACTGTTTTTCTGATTTCAGCTTCAATCTAATGTATTGTTAAACTAAGCTTTTAGCTACTGTTTTGCTGATTTCAGCTTTAATCTAATGTATTGTTAAACTAAGCTTTTAGCTACTGTTTTGCTGATTTCGGATTCAATCCTATGTATAGTTAAACTAATTTTTTAGCTACTGTTTTGCTGATTTCAGCTTCAGTCTTCTATGATCCATAATCTATAATCTATAATGCTAATTCTAAACAACAAGTAAACATCCTGTAGGAAGAGTTTATTATTTATTATTATTATTCATATTTATTATTTTGTGGGTGGGGAGCCTCATTGGTGGGCCGGGTGTGGCCCGTGGACCATCCTTTGAAAAGTCCTGACATAGAATCCAGTGTTTCTGTGCTCCTGCCTGTTTTTAATCTCCTTATCCTCCACACACATATACAGTATATTTATATTATTTTTTAGTCGTGACTGTCGTGACTCACAAAGCTGTTCTGCTGTTTGTGTCTCTGCCTTCTCAAGCACATTCATTATCTCTACCTGTTTTTTTTTTTTTTTATCCTGCCACCGCGGCGCTCAGACAGCCAGAGACATGAGAAGAGTTGAGGAACTCTCTGAGGTGGATCAGGATTCTGGCATTTTTACTTGTTTTTAGTGCAAGCTGCTGCTGCTGGACGTCGATCAGAGACTAATAATCTTTACAGATTATTAATGATTCACACATTAATTCAGTGTCCAGGTGATCCAGAGAGAATGTTTGTCAATAAAAGATAAATATCTGTGGATTTATTATTATTGTATCTATTTTCAGTGAGGCTGAAAACCTGAATTTCACCTCGTTTTCAGTGTTTTCTCAGGTTGTCAGCCGCATCACGACTTCGGCTGCTTCGGCTGCTGACTTTTCCTTCAAACTGCAGCTGATTTGTGCTTACATTTCTGCAGCCCAAGAAAACCTGTCCATGGAACAAATACTTATTTTATTTTAAAATACGGTGGAAGTTTTTAGTGACTTGAATGAAATTTGTTGACAAATAAATATTCAACTAAATAATAAAGCTGAAATGAGCTAAAGAGTAAAATTAGTAAAGCTGTTGCTAAAAGCTAAAATTAGTAACAGTGACTAAAACTGTAGCCTGAAGGCAAAGAGTGAAAAGCTGGAT